GAGCGGTTATTAAATATAGCGCAGGAAGAAGTCTGGGAGGCAGAGAGGGACGTATTGCATTTCTGGAGGACGCAGACAAAATGTGTCACCAGTCTCCAGAGCAAGAGCTGGAACCCAGGAGTTACACTAACAACGCTTGGTCTGTGACAGGAATAACTCTGAATTTGGAGAAAACATTTCCAGTCCCAATTTAAGGACTAAAAAAAAAAGAAGGAGGGGAACGTTACAACTGTGCCAAGTGAAACAAAGCAGAGAGCTGGTACAGAAAGTAATTCAGCTTTTAAAAGAGGAATCTTCAAGCAATTTCTTATTTTTCTTTTAAGAATAACTCCTACAATCCCCAAAGATGAAAGCTGCCGTCAGCTCTGGTCCCAACAAAAATGCCACATCAACACAGAGGCCAGGAACAGAGACCTCTGATCTGTCCGAGCAAGTGCTAGCACAAGCTCCAGAGGCAGCAATAAACATTCAGCAAATCTTCCAGTTAATGAAAAACTGGCTAGCAGGTTTCCTACGTAAACATTAACAGGAGATTTAATTTCATTCCTCGTGATGAACGCTCTTAGCCGCTTTCTCTCGGGAAGATCTGTACCCAACCGATTTCCTTCAGAAGCAAACTTTGGACCCGGTGCCACAGAACTCATTTAGAGGTCTCAGCCAGTCCACCTCTGAAAGAAGCCTGACTTCCCAAGAAACGCCTCTCACTTTTTATATCTAAGTATAGTAGGAAAAAAAATAGAAAGAAGAAAACCTTGCCAGCAGTCCTTGGGATTAACTTCTCCAGTGCCAACGAAGAGCGTTCAGCAAAGACGTACAGCGTGACACTCTCCTGACCCACGCTTTGATCAGTTCTGTTTTGCTGTTTTGATTTTTAATTCCTTTATTTCAGAGCTCTGTACCAGCAGCAGATCCAGAGCAGTGTCCAGGACAGCGTCCAGTCTCAGTTTTGTACCTGGCTATTTACACAAACGCTGCCTCAAAGCACGTAAAAATAATTCTCCGTAAATCGCAAAGCGGCGGCAGAGCCACGGCCATCGGCGCAGCCCCTCGCACAGCCCTTGCTCCAGGGACAAAATCTCCCGCTCCACAGGGTTTGTGGTAGGAATCGACACCAACGCTGCAGCGCAGAACTCCGTCTCAAGCGGCGGTTTGCTCTTACCTGCCAACAACCCGATGAGAAGCATCAACAGCCAGCCAGAAAAGGCATCGCTCACGCTGTGTATCAGCGCCCACGTGGACTCTTTACTTCTACTGGTGATCTAGAAGAGGGTTTTTTCCAAAAAGAAACAACAATCTGTTAGGACAGTGATCTGCTTTGGTGGAAATGCTCTAAAAACCTCCATGGGGACACTGTCAGTGGAAGATTAGCCCCTAACACTCAGAATGGCAGCTATCATGACATACTCTGCTTCCAGGGGCGAGAGAAAAAGTACGAGGCAGCGGCTGCTCTTGCAGCTGGTACGGTAAATGCAGCTCTGGTTAGATGTACAAGAACGGATCGAGGATACTTCCATTTTTTCCAGCAGAAAATAAAACATTCCAGTAACGCTTTCCTCCTAGGTGTCTTCTGCATAAACACAAGACAAAATTCATCCCTTAATCTTTCAAAGCTGCTACTCGTCAGTAAGAGCGAGCTGCCAACATCCTGATGCCACAAGCAAATCCCAACACTGAAGAATCCGTTCAAGCACTTTGCCCCCGGCACTTTATCGATATCGATACCCACGACCTGTGAGAGCAAAGAGAAGCCGTCACCAGCATTTCCGAGTCGCCAGCCTCAGCATCCGTACCCCAGACCAGAGGCGGCTCTGCCAAGCGCTGCGCAGAGGGACGCGAGCGAGGCCGCAGGATTAATACTGGTCCAGAGGGAGGGTGCTGGCTGGGAACCGAGCCGTGCTGGTGGCACTGAAGTGGGACTGGGACCCGTCCGAGAGGCCCCGGCACAGCGTCTGGCCCAGGTCTGCCTGCGTGGGCAGGGGCGGCTGAAGCCCGTCAGTCTCACTGCTCCTGACAGGCGGACAAAAGGGTGACAGAACTGCGATTGTGTGCCCAGCGCCCGGCTGCCTCTCCCAAGGGAAACGTTCCAGTACAGCACTATTATTCCCAAATACAAAGGCACGCTGATGAAAACAACTAATACTCGCTAAATGAGGAATAAAGTAAGACTCCTTTCAGCGTGAATGATCATTGTTTGGGTTTTTTCCCTGGATTTTTGTCTTTCAGATGCTGCACTGATCCAGGCAGGGGTTGGGGTGGGCAGCAAAACTCTTCCCTCTGTCTCTCTGGTCACTGGACCAGCCCTGCACCTCTCTGGCCAGCAGTAACTTCTGCCTTGACCTGATTTCAGCTTCTCTGGATAAAGACAGAGGCCATCTTTTCAGACGAGCATCCTTCCGAGAGGGGAAACAGATCATCCTGCTCCACGCTCACGGGCGTCGTCTTTGTACACGCGTGTGTGCGTGGGGGCATACGTGGGAGAAGTCTCTTGGGTCTGTACTCTTAACCCACAGATGGGAACGGGTTTTTGGGCAGGAGGTAGTGGGGGCACGAAGCCCCCTTGCTTGGTCTGTACTTGCTCGAGTTTGGGCATTACGCTGTATCGCACACACTGAGCAGGGACTGCGTTCAGTTTGTGCGCTGTTATTAAGAGACAAGTTGTTTTGTGAGGCTCAGGGGAAAAAAAAATAAATTAAAGAATATTTTGGCAAGTAAACAGACACGTTGAGTTCAGCCATCACCCTGCAAGAGTTCTGCCGGCAAGGGTTGCTCGTCAATCGGGAGCATGCTGGGGACATTGGTGCTTTATTTAAAGCATCCCTTGCTTTCTAACCCGATTCCTTTAATTGCAGAGAGTAGTCAAGTCCTGGGAACGAATTCTGAAAGAATTGCACTTAATTTTCTCAAACATGCAGCACAAAAACATTCCAATAGGAAGAGCATTGTTCAGAAGTGCAATTGCACGAGCAGAAAACGTCCCGTTTCTTTACCGATAAACAGGATCGTGGGTGCTTATATTCTTCCACGTTAGCCATGCGATAGCAACGTAATTCCTCCAAATAACACAGGCACCTCCCGTGAGGTTTCGCTGCGCTTCAGAGTCGAGCGAGTTTAACATGGCATAAGGAAGTGTGCCGCTAAGGCACTCGAGATGCCTATCAGAAATCCACTGAAGCTTTTTAAATAAATAAAAGCCTTCAGCAGAGAAGCAGCAATTGATAAACTGCAACAAGTTCAATGTAGCGTTCCTCCTCCTCGAATGAAAGATCCTGCGGAGAGGCTCTCCGCTCCCACCCCAGGGGTATCTCCAGTGACTCCCTCGTCCAGCAATCAGAACTAAGATCAGCTCTAGCAAGTTCATGATTCTGCTTCAGTGCCAGCGAGTAGTAAGAAATTTTACCTCTCTGTGTCTGTCCCGGTCCCTGGACTTCTCTCGCACCCAATCTATAGTGTTAAAATCTTCGTAGGTCCCCACACCAGGAAGAGGTTCCTCCAGGAAATCCATCATTGTGCTTGTGCCGTTCATCCCTCCTCCATTATACGAGGCAAATCCTGGGGAGGGGGAGGGGGGGGGAATTGAGCATTGCTTAGTTTTCCCTCTTTTTAGGAAAAAAAAAAAATTAGAATAAAATTACTGAAACACTAACTTGGGGGAGAACCACAGATTTCAGTGGGTAGGTCCTTCCCCAGCAGTTCACGTAGAGATGGGGTTGTTCCTGTAAACGATGGTTCAAGGAACCAAAGTAAACCAACGCTAGCACCTAGACATTAACTCTTCCCGCAATCCAGGACTTGCCGTGATGATACTCTGCCATTTGAGGAAAGCAGAGGGGAGAGGAGCAGGCGAATATTCGAGACCCCCAGCAGAGCTGACGGGAGTCTCGGGTGGCTCTAGACGAAAGCAGGACGGGCTACGGACGGGAGCAGGGAGACGGGGGAAGCAAAGCACCTGACCCCCCCATCGCTGGGGGGGCCTCAAGAGCAGAAAGTGGTACCAAAGGGGGCTCGGGAAGTTACCGAATCGGGGCTCGCGGCCTCCCTTCAGTTGAGACAAACTCAGCCAAGCACTCGACTTTCTGTCTACCCCGCTCCAGCCCATGGAAAATGAGGCTTAGTGTGGGTGTATGTCCCCAATATTTTGGTCACAAGACAGTCTCTTCACAGGGGGAACACGGAACAAGGCTGTGGGTAAGGCAAGGGCCTACAGAGAACCACTGACCTGCAGAGTGACGAGGGTTGGCCAGGTCCACCTGAAGACAACATCCACGCTCCCAAGGAAAGCCTCCCAAGTGCCATCCCCCCCAGTTCCACCATCCCCTCCCAGAAAACAAATCCATTCATCGTAGAACCATTGAACAATTTGGGTTAGAAGGGACCTTTAAAGATCATCTAGTCCAATCCCCCTAGTCCTTCAGGAATCACTCCATATATTTTTCTTTCTAAGCCACCGAATGCTGAAAGGGCAAAATCTGCCCGGGTTACCCCAAGAAACACTCTGCCGAAGTTCAGCGGAGGTGAAAGGTGCCCTGCAGCCCATTACCCACTGTGCGAAAGCGTCCTCAGAAGACGTGACGCTACTTCACACGCTGAATAATAGTTTTGAAACTCCCTTGAGGAGCCCTTCACGCTACTCTCGCTCCCCGAGGCTGTCTATGGCCCGGCGAGATGCGGTCGCCGCGCTCTGCTTTCGGAGGCAGGGGACGGAGCTGTGCGACAAGCTGGAAAGCAGCAGGGAGCTGCACAGATGAACCTCCTGGCATCCCAGCTCTGAGGACTTTTTAAAACAGCCTTGCACAGCATACATTGCTGGTCGGAAAAAGGAGAAGAGTAAGGTGCTGCCAGCCAGCTAACATCCACGTTGAGCCACCTCAGCAGGCAGCAGCAAACCAAAGGGAAGCGGAGCGCAGAAAATCTACGGGAAAGCAGTAAGAGACTGAAGTCCTCAGCAGCCCGTTTCTCACCTGAGCTGGGAACCCCAACACCTTAAATAATCACAAATCATTCACTTGGCAATCCACAGCACAGCCCGTATGCTCCGCAGAGCCAGCCCGAGCTCAGGCACCCCCAGTCATCCATGCTAGCAGAACACACACCACGCGTGTTCTTCTCCAGCAACGCGCTGCTACAAAAAGCTTCCAGGGGCGTACACACACGGAGAGACGAGCGGGGAGGCTGGCTGGTCAGACCTGGGCAGGAGAGTAAATCTGGTCGTGGTTCCGTAAGACACTAAGCGCTTACAGCCATCCGGAAGTAAAAAAAGAAGAAAAAAAAAAAGAAAAAAAGGATGCAAAAACCAAAATCCAGCCAAAACTGAAAGGTGGTGGGGAAGAGGAATATTAAAACTCCCATACAGAAGGATAAGGTTTAATATTTCATTTAGCGCATTCAGGTGGAGATACTACCAGGGCAAAGATGTCTTCGAATGGGGAGAAGTAAGGAATTCAAACAATTGCTCTCTATCCCATCATCTAAAAGCAAGAGAGGGGAAAAAAGACCCGTGGTGTCTTCCCAAGCCCATTTCCCAGATTGGCACAGCAGCCTCTTCACAGAGAAAAAGCCGCAGGAAAACAAGATGAGTCACGTCGCACAACTGACAACTACCACAAAACAACCCACTTAAAAAAGGCTCCTCGCTTCGTCTGGGACAAAACCAGATTAACCGAAGCTCTCCAGAGATCCCCCAAGCGGGGAGCGCACAGGCTGTGAGCCCCCCTGCGCGGTAAAGAACCCGGGGCACCTCTGCCCAGAGCCGTCAGGAACTGCTTTGCTTTCAACCACAGTTTTGCAGCCAACGGCTCGGGAATACACAAACTGACACCGACGCTTTCGGAGACCTCTCCGTTCAAATATCCCCACTGGAAATCCCAAGCGCTGTTCTACAAATCTGACGGCCCAAAACCTCCCCGAATAAATCATCTCCGTAACAATGGACAACCAGGTTCGGCACGTACCACGCCGAGATACCTGCAACTCCTCCTGCAAGCCTGCTTACCTGCCTAGAGGCGTCCGGGCGAGCGCTGCCCCACAGCTCCGAAGGCAACGAAGCCCCTCCGAAGCAGTTATCTGACACAGGGGACAAGACAAGGCATCGTCCCAGTCAACCACAGCTCAAACAAGTCACACCTACGGTTCAGAGCCGCAGATCTTCACGGCAGAGGCCAGGAGGTGGAGACCGTGTCTGGAGCAGAACAACTCAACGGGGGAGGTAATCCAGGGTTCAGTCCAGCGCGTCGGCTCGACAACGGCCCCGGGCTGTGAGCGCACCACGACCTCCCAGACCGCACAACATCCCAACGCCCACCTGGGCCACTCCGTGGGACACCAGCCATCCTCACCACGCTCACCAGCTAGCTCACCTGGGTGCGATTCCCATTGCCAGGGTCCCCCAGCACGTGCCAGTGGATTTTTAACATCCTCACTTAGATAGTGGCTGAGTTTTCTGGGAACGTTGAAATCTCACTTTGGGGGCGGAGGGGTGGTTACTGACGGCGTTACCAGCATTATGGAACGCCGGCATCCAGCCCGGCATTCGGTTTAGCTCAGTCCTCCAGCCAAGGGAACCGCCACGGCCACATCGCTTTCAGAGCAGCTTCAGACACGAGTAAGGAGGTGGTGCTGGCGGGGGGTCGGAGGCTTTGCCAAGGGCGGGTGACGGGTTTCTGCCAAGCCCAGCGATGCAGAAGCCAACACTGGGTCTACCTTGAGAAAGGGGAGAAGAACGGCTGTCTCCCGCACACTCGCCTCTCAAAGCCAAGCAGCCCAGCCAGAAGAGTTCGCTTTTGTTTCTACAGGAACGACCAACTCTTCTAGGGGTGCCACAACAAGCCCTGTCTCCGTGCTGCAGACGGCAGGCTTTCACTGCCCGTTCAGTTTTATTGTGGCACACCTACCGCAACCTTTCCTACAGATAAAAAGATACAGTTGTCCTAAAAAAAAAAAAAGAATAAAGCATTGTTTAACCTAGCTAACAGACTACTTCGAGAAGTATCTTCTGCAAGAAGATGAGATCAGGGTCATTCCTTGCTCACTCTTCCGGAATAATGGCCCAGACCGGCAACTGTCAGCTGTCCTGGGAACGCTCTCCCAGCACAGAGCTCTGCCCCAGACCCCGAGGGACCCCGTCAGCACAGAGCTTTGCCCGGGACCCCGAGGGACCCCAAGGGACTCCAAGGGACCACGTCAGCACAGAGCTCTGCCCCAGACCCTGAGGGACACCCAGGGACTCGGCGGTCTGCGAGGGACCCCGAGGGCCCCCGTCAGCACAGAGCTCTGCCCCAGACCCTGAGGGACCCCAAGGCACCCCGTCAGCACAGAGCTCTGCCCGGGACCCCGAGGGACCCCAAGGGATCCCGTCAGCACAGAGCTCTGCCCCACAAGGCAGGAGGGGCTGCAGGTCACCGCACCCCAGCGATGCCCCGGCGCACAGCACCGATGGTGGCACAGGTACCGGCCCGCACGACCCCATCCCCACCGTGACCGGCAGCTGCACGGGGATCTCGCGGCGAGGCTGAGTGCCGAAGGGACGGTCTGTCGTGACTCGCGTGCTCGGGACCAGCCCGGTGCCGCTTGGAGACTGGTCCTGTCCTGCTCTCCGGACGCCGTCCCTCCGGGCCAGCCTGCCGCCCCTAACCCAGCAGGGTTTATACTGCAAAAGCAGAGCCCCACGGTCTCCACACGCGGCAGCTTCGCAGCCCTGCGAGCGGATAAGCTGTCCATCTGACAGAAGATAATGAGAAAATATCCTTATATTTTTTCCAGGAGTAATACCAAACTATAAAATGGCTGACAGCCATAAATATTTATCAAGATCATATTTCCTGCCTTGGCTGGTTGCAAATCAAGGATCCCAGGATAACCAGATAGGAATAAAGGAAGAAAAGGAGCTCGGTAGTGCCTTGCCAAAACACAATCAAAATGATTGTACGGGTGTCCCCAGTTCCTCATGTACGGATCTCTAAATCAGTATTTAATGCCTAGAGAGAGCAAGTTAAAGGCGACCCTGTCAGAGAAGAACAGTTCATTTTTTAAACACAGATTTGTCAACGGTTTGATCACCTCTTCTCCCCAAAATGGGTTAATGCTCCACTCGAGAGAGTCTGCAAAAAAAAAAAAAAAAAAAAAGCACAGCAGTGTTTGTTAAAGTTACAGGCATCTGTCATCTGCAGCACAGCAAAGCCACAGGGCTTCATTAACCGTCCTGCCAGCGCAGCAAGACGACAGCAACAGCACCTGGGAGAGGTCTGCCTCCGCACCGCGTCCCTCGCTCTAGCAAATCTGGGAAAACGAAGGGGTTTGCAGACAAAAGGGAGACGGGCAGTAAACAACCGACCAT